GTATCACACTTACCATATTTTTGTTCTGAGAACATTAAAATCTACGCTCTTAGCAATTTTCAAGAATGCATGTTATTAACTACAGTTACCATGCTGTCCAATACATCTCCTAAACTTATTCCTCCTGACTAACTAGGATTTTGTGTCCTTTGAGCAACATTTCCCAACACCCCCCTCCCCCCACTCCCTAGTCCGCTGGTAACCACCATTCTACTCTCTACTTCTACGGGTTTGGCTTTTTTAGATTCCACATGTAAGTGACATCATGCAGTATTTGTCTTTCTNTCAGAGAGAGAGCAGACAACCTCAAGCTCTCTAATATATGAACTGTGGGTATTCCAGAAGGAAAGGAGAAAGCAAAAGGTATTGAAAACCTATTCAAGGAAATAATAACAGAAAATGTCCCAGGTGTAGGAAGAGATGCAGACCATCAGATCCAGGAAGCTCAAAGGTACCCAATCAGATTCTACCCAAAAAGATCCTCCCCAAGACACATTCTAGTCAAACTGGCAAAGCTCGAAGACAAGGAGAGAATTCTAAAAGCGAGAGGAGAAAAGCATCACGTCATCTATAAGGGAGCCCCCATCAGATTAATAGCAGACTTCTCAACTGAAACCCTACAGACCAGAAGAAACTGCAATGATATATTCAAAATAGTAAAAGAAAAAAAATTGCCAGCCAAGAATTCTTTACCCAGCAAGACTCTCCTTCAGAAATGAAGAAGTAGTGTATTTCCCAGACAAACAAAAATAGTGGGAGTTCACCACCACACGACNTGGAGGACTTCTATGGACAAATCTACAAAATTAGCCTGAAAGACTTGAAGAAAAGCTGAACGGAGAAAGAACATATTCACAGATGGGCAATGTCAATAACGAAAAGACATACATTCTCCCACAAATTAATACACAAATTCCATGTAATTTCAATCCATACCCTAGTGGAAATTTTCATGTATTAGACACGCTAATTCCAAAATTCATACTGAAGAGNTGTCTGAAAAGGAATTCTGAGCAATGATCTTAAGAAAACTTGAAGAGATCAAAGAAGACTCAGAGAACACAAGAATACAAGTAAAAAATATCCAGAATATGAAGAAGGAAATTTACAAAGAGATTAATACCTTAAAAAAGAGTGTAGCAGAACTAAAAATGAAAGATTTGCTTAGTGAAATAAAAACAAAACAGAGGATTTGAGCATCAGGGTAGAGCAAGCAGAAGAAAGAATTTCAGATCTCGAAGACGGTCTTTTCAAAATAACCCAGGCAGACAAAAAAAGGAAAAAAGAATTAAAAATAATGAAGAAAATCCCAGAGAGAGAGCAGACAACCTCAAGCACTCTAATATATGAATTGTGGGTATTCCAGAAGGGAAGGAGAAAGCAAAAGGTATTGAAAACCTATTCAAGGAAATAATAACAGAAAACGTCCCAGGTGTAGGAAGAGATGCAGACCGTCAGATCCAGGAAGCTCAAAGGTACCCAATCAGATTCTACCCAAAAAGATCCTCCCAAGACACATTCTAGTCAAACTGGCAAAGCTCAAAGACAAGAAGAGAATTCTAAAAGCGAGAGGAGAAAAGCATCAAGTCATCTATAAGGGAGCCCGTATCAGATTAATAGCAGACTTCTCAACTGAAACCATACAGACCAGAAGAAACTGCAATGATATATTCAAAATAGTAAAAGAAAAAAATTGCCAGCCAAGAATTCTCTACCCAGCAAGACTCTCCTTCAGAAATGAGGGAGAAGTAGTGTATTTCCCAGAAAAACAAAAATAGTGGGAGTTCACCACCACACGACCATCCCTGCAAGAAATTCTCAAGGGAGTCTAAGTCCTTCATCTGGAATCTGAAAAATGATGATCACTATCACAGATACACAAGAAAGAGCAAAACCTGCCATTAAAACAAAAACATCAGTGAGAAAGAGAAAGAAGCTAAATCATGCCACGTCAAATTTCCAACTAACATTGAAGAAGAGAAATAAAAGGGGAAGTAAGAATCAAAAGATATTTAAAACATCTAAACAAAAAGCAATGAAATGACAGGAATTAAACAATATCTGTCAATAACTACCCTAAATGTGAATGGATTAAACTCCCCACTGGAAAGACACAGACTGACTCATTGGATTAAAAAGCTAGACCCAAGTATATGCTGTCTTCAAGAGACCCACCTCACCTGTAGAGACACACACAGCCTAAAAGTGAAGGGATGGAAAAAGATATACCATGCAGATGGAAACCAAAAATGAGCAGGAGTATCTATTCTTATATTGGATAAAATAGACTTTAAACCAAAAAACATAAAAAGAGACAAAGAAGGCCACTATATACTGATAAAAGGATCTATCCAGCTAGAGGACATAACAATCAAAAATGTGTATGCACCCAAATATATAAAGCAAACACTCTTAGACTTAAAGAAAGAAACGGGTCCTAATACATTAATAGTGGGTGATCTGAACACCCCTCTCCTGATCTTCCAGGCAACAAATCAACAAAGAGACACAGGATTTAATCTATAGTATAGACCAACTGGACCTGGCAGAAATATACAGAACATTTCACCTAACAACTAAAGAATATACTTTCTTCTCATCAGCACATAGAACATTCTCCACGACAGACTACATTGTAGGTCACAAATCTAGTCGCAGCAAATTTTTAAAAAATGAAATCATTCCAAGTATCTTTTCAGACCACAATGGACTAAAACTGGAAATCAATAAGTATTGAAACCCTGTAAACTATACAAATATGTGGAATGTAAGCAATAGTCTCCTGAATGACCTATGGGTCCAAGAAGAAATTAAACAACAAATCAAAAAATTTCTTGAAACTAATAAAAATAAAGATACATCCTACCAAAACCTGTGGGATACTCTAAAAGCAGT